CAAATATAATATGGTTGCAACTTGCAGGAAACATTGCTAACCTCTTAAATGACGCCTTTTTTTGGTAGACATTTATTTCAATTTAAAAAAATTAAAAATAAAAGGCAGAAAAAGCAAAAATTATCAGTAAAAACTGAATTTATTACAAAACTAAGTAGCAAAGTAAGGCATTACAACACCTTATTCAATAATGTATGATGTTGCTTAGTAATGGAACACACAATGCAGCAGTGAATTTGTCACAGGCAATAAATATTTTTTGCGATTTGTTTGATATACCAAAATGCAGCACACATTTTACAAAACAAAAAAGATAAAAAGTTTTTCCTCGCAGTCTTAATTTAAATAAAAAAACAAAACAGCTCATTAATTTTAATGAAAATCGCCGCATAAAAGAGCTAAATATCTCCTACTTCTGTTTTTAAAATATATTTTGCATTGCATAATTTATGGACTGAAGTAGAAAGTTTTATTTAGATCGTTAATGTTTTAAATAGTTAATTATATTATGTTTCTTGAAAATAGTTTTAAATGTAGAAACATTCTATTGCAAACATTAAACCAGTGATTGCCAAAGTTAAAATAAAAACTAAATTATAAAAAATTTAAAATAAAAGTAATAAATCATTTTACTTCTGTTCAAAAAAATTATTTAAAAAAATAATTTAAGAATATTCTTAAACTCAAAGGGACCACCAAGTCCCAAGACATGTTGTGTTCATATTAAAGAGAATGTTAAAATGTCTGAGCAATTTTTTTTTGATTACAACTAATTAATAAATGTATACCAAAAAAAACAATTCTTGTCTTTTCTCCTTTTTCTGCGGTATTTGGAGTCTTTAAAATAAACGTCATTTTCCAGGCGCATTATACAGACTTGATAATTTATTCAAGTACATTTAATTTATAGGAGTTTTAGTACATGATGTCATAGATTTTTTTGTTTGTTTGTTTAAAACATTTATTATTTTTTTTTACATACAATTTCAAAATCATATTCATTTTTATTATATTTTAAAGTTCTAAAATGTGTTTGTAAAAAAATTAAAAAACAAAATAGTATTTTATTTGCGCAACTTTTTTTAAATAATCGTCTAGATATATTTTGATTTCTTTTGTTATAAGTTTTTCTTTCAAAATATTAGATAAAATCATTTTTAACCTAAAACAATAATGCGCTTTTATTAATTTACTTAGTAGTTATTAAAAAAAATTATTAATGCATATTTTCTGGTATTGAGGTGATCTTATTTCATTATTTATATTTCCATTATTATAACATCCAATATATATAATGGCTATTGAAGGTCCAAAAAGTTGGGGGCAGAAACGAAAATAAAATGCAACCAGAATCATAATTTCAATGGAAAAAACAGGACTCTTCAGAAATTTTGGGCTATTGCTGTTTGTTCCTATGTCAGTGAGTATATACTATATTCTGTAAGACATGGATCAGCAATAAGACAAAAAATCTTCTTCTTGTCCGTTCATCAACTTAGTTTTAAATTTATCTGCGTAGTATTTATTAAACGGTAAAATACAATTTTGAAAAAAGTAAAAAGATAACTTTTTTATTTAGATAATTTTCATATATTTTTATGGCACTCTCCTATATAAAATGATGACCTTGGCCACTATATAATAGATTCTAAATTTCGTTGTTTATTTAAAGTGGGATCTTTTTTTTAATTTTATTTATACACTCAACTTTTTTTTATTACTCTGTATTTCCTATCAAAACGATGTTTTAATCAATAATTAATTTCGATAAACAACTGTATTAAGGATATTTGATGAATTGTTAAATTTTTGTATTAGAAAATTTTATAAGTATGTTAACTAAATTTTATTAATTGGGATATGGATAAAAGAGTAACCGTGTTATACTTTTCATTTGCATTTTGATAACTAAACGGTTGAAATGTTGGCAGCTACATACTCATTTGAACCTTTTAAAAAAAAGATGAAGAAAACCAGTAAAGATCCAAAAAATGAAATAGTTGAAAATAGCATCAATTATGTAAATTTGAAATTAAATTGTTTGAGTGTAGTTGTTGAATAATGGTGTAAACGTGGATACTGTAAAACAATGCCACTTGAAAAAGAATGTATTTATTATTTTGAAATAAAGGCAATAAATATTATAAATAAATATTATAAATAAATATTGCCACAGTTATTATAAAATAACTATATTAATATTTTAAAATATAAATTAATGTATTATTTAGCAGAATTAAAATAAAAAGTTATAACAAACTGTCACATAACGGCTTAAAAACTTAAAAATAATTTTTATTTTATTTTAGACCAAAAGTGCATAACAGAACACAGAAGTTTTGTGACAGGCTGCATTGAGCTATATCCATTATGGATATCAATGGCCAGTCTAAATGACAGAGAAGAATTGTGAATGCCAGATTTATTCGAAGAAACCCTGAACAAATATTTTTATATTTACAATTTGGTTGTCTTACATTAAACTTGATTTTATTTATATAACTTTGTTTATTGAAAAATATTTGTATTTCTCCGTTTCTTTCAAAGAACATTCAGATATGCCACTTATCATCAGTTTAAATGGTTAAAATACTGTAAACTTGGAAGGTATAATCGAAAGGTTCTACCAGCATGTGTTGTTTCAGCAATAAGATCCAGGTTTCCAAATCTTAATGGAATTTACACAAATTTCGAAGTTGATGATGATGGTGCCTTAGGTATATCTGAAGTGGTAAATGCCTGGAAATATACTGGTTGATTGGAAAGTGCCAAAATCTAAGTAATAAAATGGCTATTTTCATAGCCACAAATTCTAAAAAAACTTTATGCGCAACAGAATATATAGTATATATTTTAGAAACTTGAAGGTATTCTAGGATATTTAAAACTGATTGCCCACATTTGGGAGGGTAATGTCTACTTTTATAGCCATTTTTGTTCCCATCAGCGCAATTTTTTGGAAAACATCCTGATATGACATAAGTATGAACATACAGTTTTTTTTAATTTTATGAATTTCATTTCTAGTTTTGATTATTACGATTATCGTATGAAGTTAGGGTAAAAATAAAACTAAAAAAATCTTTAAAGTAAAGGGACCAAAAGATAGAGTTTATTTTTCTAGCTATTTATACAGTTCACATTTACAGTAAATTACACACAGCTGTTTTTTAATCAATGTAATAATTAATATATCTTGGTAAAAATTCAAGACAGATGGTGTACATAGTGAATGTGGTCACAGTGCAGTTTAAAAAATGCATTATATTGAGTACTTTTCAATTTACATCGAATTTGCATTCAAATTAAAAAACAACATTGTGAATAACAGATAAAAGTTTGACTTGTATTTATTTTATTTGTGAAATCATTAACTCAATAATAACATTTTCTTGCAATCTTCAAAAGCATTTATTCCATTTTTTAAAATCAAAAATATCATACAAATTTTACAAAACAAATTTAATTAAATACATTCTGACACGCATCTAAATAAGTTAAATTTCAGTTAAAATGATAACATTACCATCAACACGGCCATCAAAGTGGGGAAACTTCAAAGAGGCTCACTCCCCGATTAAAAAATAATAATCTTTTATTCGAAAAAAAAAAAAAGTTATCCTAAAAAAAAGAGTTGGGGGCCATCAACACTGGGGGCCCCTAGCCTGATGTTGACGGCTATGGATAAGAAAATAAGAAAAGTTTAGAAATAAAAGTTTCTAATAAAAATTTACAAAACAATCCAAAATAACTTTTTATCAGTATCTTAATAAATATCATATACCATATAATAACATTAAATATTGATAAAATCCAAATTATGGCTATCAGTGCCATGGATAGGGGGTCAGAGATCCCCTCCCTATAAAACATATCATTAAGGTCTTAATAATTAAGAAAACTTTGAATATTAGGTATAACGAAAAAAAAATAAATTTAAATTTAGTAAAATTAATCTTAAAATTAATCTTAATTTGAAAAAGAACACCTAAATTTGATCCCCCCCCCTTCATTTAGGGCGAAGCCGATGGGCCACAGCGTGTTATTTTATTGGATGGGCAGAACAGAACAAAAAAAAAATCCAAAAATACCAAATCTACTACTAAAGCCGATTTGGTTTATAAAAAAAGGACATTTAAATAAAAATTAGGCGCCATAGGGGTCTCTAGGTCCACAATCGCTGTGGTTCATGTAGCGACGGCTCTGATAGGTACAAAAAAGCATAAAATATTTTTCAATGTGAAGATTTAGAAAATAAAATAACTATAGTTAGCTATTTTAGTAAAATAACTATAGTTAGCCATTTTAGTAAAATTTAAAAGTAAAATTTTTAAAGAATTTCTAGAATGTTTCCAATGACGTCATGTACAAAAACTCCTATGAATTAAACGCACTTGAATAAATTATCAAGCCTGTATAATGCGGCTGGAAAAATACATTTATTTTAAAGACTCCAAATACCGCAGAAAATGGAGAAGACAGGCTTCGACTAAAACAACAATAATTTGTTTTTCTTGGTATACATTTATTAATTAGTTTTATTCAAAAAAAAATTTGCTCAGACCTTTTTTTTTAAGATTCTTTTTAATATGAACACAACATGTCTAGGGACTTTTAAGGTCCTTTAAGGAAATATAATTCGATTCATTAAACCAAATTTTTTTGTTTTACTTTTTATTGCAAAACAATTTAAATAAAAAATTTAATGAAAACATCAACTTAAAAGCCATTTAAATGAAAAATAAAAATAAAAAAAATTTTATTTTATATAATTTAATTTTTCTCATATTTTGATGGAGGGGGTATCGAAATTTTTTTGCAATTCAATTTTTTGGCAATAATTTGAGCCCTGATATATATATATATATATATATATATATATATATATATATATATATATATATATATATATATATATATATATATATATATATATATATATATATATATATATATATATATATATATATATCAAGCCTTATATATTTATACGATCATGCTTACAATTTTTTTTTAACAACTTGGCTATTGTTTTTACATATTTTTATAATTTTTAATCATTTGTTAAATTTTTTTCCTTTTTTTTTCAAGTTTACCTTTTTAGTTTTTTAGTTTTAATTTCCCTTTTCAGTTTATGGTTCGTTTATTTTTAGTTTTAGTTAATGTTTGTTTATTCAGCCCATTTTTCAAAAACTCTCATTTTCAATTAGAGTGTTAGAAAAGTCCAAGTTGTCAACATATTATATGCAAGGTCATGCAGGTGTACAACCACAAGCCGCTCCTGAGAAAGGTTAATATATATATATATAAATATATATATATATATATATATATATATATATACACATATATATATATATATATATATGTATATATATATATATATATATATATATATATATATATATATATATATATATATATATATATATATATATATATATATATATATATATATATATATATATATATTAACCTTCAGGAGCGGCCTTTGGTTGTACATATATATACATACAACTATAAATGGATGTTTAGATAAGGACTGTGATGTCACACTGTAATAACCTGCTGTCGGAGGCTTCAGTACATGAATAAACTATCTAAGGCTGACGATTTGGGATAGACAAGCAATCTTTTTTATCATTATTCTTCATTTTTTCTTCTTTTTCTGAAAAAGCTGTATGCTATAAAAATAAGCAAAACTAGTATGCATTAGCTGAACTATATACGATAGATATATGTATATCATGCAAAAATGTTGGTATATTTGGTATGTGCAATGTTTAAATACAATTTTCTTAGTGTCTGCTATACACATAGTCATCATCTATTTTGTCTCCTAATGTGTCTTACCCAACTACTTCTCTTTTATTTCTGTTACTGATGGTGGCAAACCTTAAAATCATGCAAAATTGTTTATTATTAAATTTAAATATTAGTAGAACACTGTTAAAGAATTTTGTAAACATCTACTGAAGTGTACTAATTTGATAATCGATAATAATGTACACAAATACAATCTAATCTAACCTAAATCTAACAAACCACTGGCATAAAAAAATTATATTTTTTTGGTTAAACTCTTTTAAAGCCATCCCTTCAAAACCAAATGTGGTGATTAGTTAACTGTTTGAATAATCCCAATCACATCTTGGTTTTTACAGTGATCCATAGCAAATAAGTACAGTTATGTACACTCAAATGTCGCTAGAATTTGTGTCTTTTTTCTTTGAGAGGGACAAATACTAGGAGTGCACTTAGCTCATTTGAATTAAAATTTTTTAGTTGTAAAATTTTCCAAACAATTTTTTTTTAGTAAAGCATTATAACATAAAGTTTATAATATGAATAGCTTTATAAATAAAAACAAACAACAACAACAACAACAGCAACAACAACAACAATAACAACAACAAAAAGCGTAAACTTATTAAAAAAAATTCAAAAAAAAAAAATCTTTACTTGCATAGCTGCTATCCAACGAGATTTTAATGTTTCATTGTCTGCTTGCAAATACCAACATCTAAAAAAAAAATAATAAAAAACAACTTATAAGAACGTAAAACAAAAAAAAGAAAAAAAACAAAGAAAAATATTTATTACTTTGTTGGGCAAACAACAGCAAATACAAAACGTCGATCACAATCGTCTGCATTTTTTACAGTCGAAAGTCGTAAGTCAACCATTTCTGTCACACATTCCTAATTAAAAAAATACAAATAATTATTATAAAAAAAAAAAAAAAAAGAACCTAAATGTTAATTTTTAGTTGCATGATCAGAATGTTTTTAAAATAAAATACATAAACCAGGGTTTCACAGGAAGATGTGCGATCACACGCAATTATATGACCATGCAAAAAATAATTTGTTTTGACTATTTGACCACGGCTTTTGACATATTTTCAAAATTTGAAAATGCAAAAACTTACTTAGACTTATCTAAAAAAAAAAAACTTAAAAAAAAAAAATCTTATTGAAAGAGAAAATAAAAAAAATACTTAATTAAAGCAAAAATACAAAACACACACACACATACACACACATTAGCTTAATTATACACACACAATTATACACACACAATTAGCTTAATGCATTAGCTTAATGCAATTTTGACGTCATAAAATTATCTTTATTTTTTTTTATAGACATTAAGTGTTTTAACTACCGCAATAAATAAATAACCGCTAACTAGTTCAATTTAACAACTAACTCAAATAACTATAAATGTTTTAAATGTAAATTTATTATGAAAAGTTTGTAATGTTTTCAATTGTTATTTTATTATTAATTTTAGTTCAATATTATTTAGTAAAAAAAAAAATATATATATATATATATATATATTTTAATTATTTCTGAAATTTGTTTTTGAATAATTATTGTTTATAAATCGTTATTGAATAAAAAATAATAATGATTTTTTTTATTTTTAAAAATTTCTGGAGTAAACAAAAAATATTAACATTGATAAACAAAAAACCATGTTAATTATTTAAACAGCGTATTTTGTTTTGACTAGTAAAGAATAATTTAGATTTTTAAATTTTAGGAAATTAAAAAAAAAATTAAATTAAATATAAAAGTCTTAATTATTCTAACTCTTTTGTTAATTATTCTTTAATATATAAGTATAATTACAAAACACTTTTTTTTCGTTTGTAAGCAATTTAACTTAATGAAATAAAAAAAGAATAGATATGAGATAATTTTTGTTAAGAACAAATTTAATTTATTTATTGAACTATATTTTCATTTTTTTATATATCAACTTAATTAAAATATAGTAACATGGTAAAATATTTTAACATGACTTGCGTTATTTATAAACCGTAGGGCAGCTGCCATTACGGCACCATTGTTTTTGGATAATATTTTATTTTGATGAAGATCACATAACTTACATTAGATTTTAATACCGTAAGTCTTCTCTTTTTCTGTGATCATCGCATCAGCAAAGTCCCAAGATTTAAAAATTTTTAAAGTAAATCTTTTGTCCTTTAAAATACAATCCATATTCGAACTTTAAACAATTTAGAGAGAATAGAAATATACAAGGTTTTTATATACTAGTTTGTCTTGTTTTATAAAGAAAAATACATATTCATTCGTAAAAAATACAGACTGTCATAAACTAAAACGTGCCTTAGTATTTATTTAACGGAATCTGTAATGTGCGCGTGCATAATGAAACCTCCGTTATAAAAATATATTCAACATAATATTAGTGTCATCAGCAGATGTTATAGTCTACTCGTGATTTCTTTACCTTATAATAAAACTTGATTTATGAAAAAAACTTATTGAATCACACGCAGAAGAAATTTAACAAATTGTCTTCATTCAAAAATTGCGAGTAACAGGTTGTTTTTTTTTTTCTGTGCCGGCCCCCTCCCCCCACATAACTTAAAGGTAAAGGTATCTATATACCTTTAACTAATAAGAAAAGCAAAGAGTAATAATTAATGAAGTAATTTTTAGAAAAATACAAATAGATTGTTCATTTATTGGCACATTTTTTTTAATACCTCAAAAAATTGTCTTGATATTTTTGTTATCGTGATAACAAAAATATTAAAACATTTTTTGAGATAATAAAAAAAATGTCAATCCTTAATTACAAATTTTTTTGCAAATGTTTTTTATTATAAATTCAGTAAAAACTCTTAAAAACTCTATATTACAAAAAACATTTATATTCTGTATTAATAAATATGGAATATAGATTTTTTAAAAGTTTTTTACTGAAAACTTTAAAAAATTACTACTTTTTATTAAAAACAGAAAAAATTTGTAGTTAAGGATTGACGAACAATTTTTCATGTTGCTAAATATTTGGATAAAAAGTTTAGCGTAAAATTAATTGCTATAAAAAGGTAAGATATATTGCGCTGAAAAGTTACAACAATTATTTTTAACGTAAATTCTTTTTTGTAATATATATCTTTACATGTCTTTTAAAAGTTAACGTGGTTTTTTTAAAAATTAATTACTTTTTTTATGTTACCGCTAATTTAAAAGTTAAAAAATGATAAAAAGTAGCTTAACCAAAACAGCTCTATGCGTACATAGAATAATATGCTGATTTTGAAAATAATAAATTTGTTTTAAATTAAAACTTAAGAGAAAAAAAATAATGCTGTTTTTTTTATTAAAAAACCCCCCATCATCAAAAAACGTGGGTTTTTTGGTATATTTTTGCAAATATTTTTTTCACTAAATTTTTTTTTTTAATAAAATTGTTATTGACAAAACAAGCATTTTTTTTTTGCTTTTTTTGAGTCCAAGGTTGATACAGTTTAGAAAAAAAAATTCAAAAACATTAGGATCCGTCAAGAATTTAGAATCCAAAAAGGAACCTCAAGATCTCATCAAAATCAAATTATTTTTTTTACTTTCATCCTATAATTAATAGACATTGATTCGTGTCTCAAGAATATTGATTTTTAAACTTTTTTTTTTTTTTGCTATAAAAGTCGCCCCACCCTAATATATATATATATATATATATATATATATATATATATATATATATATATATATATATATATATATATATATATATATATATATATATATATACACACACATAAACGCAACTAAAACATTAATCATCAAACTAAAATGCTTAGTTTATTTAATTTACAAATTAAAAAACCATGTCATTCTTTGTTTTTTACATTACATTACGTTACATTTGTACTTTGTTTTTTTTGTTTTTTAATATGTTTCAAAAGATAAACATTTATCATAAAAATGTTACTTCATTAAAAAGCGTTTCGATAATATAAAAGCATTTAAGATCAAGCTTACTTAATTGCAAATTGTTTCCTAAAATATTTGTCTTTTTTTTTAACAAAATTTTGTTTATCTTTTTAAATGTATTACCTTTAATTATTCTTATATTAAAATTCGTTAGAGACATTCATTGTCGTAGAAAGTCATTGTTTATAAAATAAAACAACTTTTTATTTTTTAATAACGTTTATTATAAAAAATGCACACTTAAACAATTTATATATAATAAATTAAAAAAATATATATAACTGTCAACTATACTCTAAAAAAAAAAAACATTATCAGTAATTTGTTACTTTATTTAAAAGCATTTCGCTAATATAAAAAAATTTGTTAAAGGTTTTGATGAAATTTATTTAACTCAAGGTATAACTCAGAGTATTTTTCATTAAGCATGTATTTACAATGTTTAGTGAGATAGCTGCAGTCAAATCATCAAAGCAAAATGTAATTTGCCTGGTCATATAAAGACGTGTGATTGCACATCTTGCTGTGAAAGACTGTAAATTTAATTTTTTAACTATTTAAATTTATTTTTATTTTAATATTACTAAACAAAGTGTGAAAATTTAAACAAGCTTTTACCTTAACTTTAGTCAAAAAATCAGAAGTTTTTTGCCAAATTATTTTGTCAAATTGTTATCAATAGTAACTTACTGAAAAACATTGACTTAATAATCATAAAATCAGATTTTTTTCATCCATTAATTAAATAATAAACTAACTAATCTCAAAATTAAAAGTAGGTGAAAGATATCATTTTTTGGATGGTAATGTATTTAAGCTTTTTAATTTAAGTTTGTGTTTTTTATTTAAGTTATAATGATGCTCCAAGAGGACCTGAAAAACAAGTAAATTTTGTATAAAACAAAAAACAGTTTTCAACTTCAGTTTTCCAGGATTCGGTTTTCTATGCACTGAATACAGTTGTTGATTTTTGAATGAATAATTGATTGATGACTGAACAGATACATTCAAGTTTTGTATAACAATACAAAGACCAGATCATATATCAGTTTTGAAGTAATTTTTAACATTATAGTAAACACAGGTGCAATTTGAGTTCGACTAAAAAATAAAGCCAACATAAATCAATATTATTCACCTATCATGAAACTAAAAGATAACAAGAATTCCAACAGAATAGTATTCTTAGTCTAATTATATGTAATTTATCAAAAATGTTTTAAATTCTTGAAAACTAATTGAACATCTTTAAATAACAAAATAAATTTATTGCAAAAATCTTTGTGATAGACCAGATATTATGTAACTAAGTGAAAATTAGATTACTCTATGTTAGAGTTGATAGTTATTAATGTTACAATGTAAACAGGTATAATAAAGATGGCGGTGGCATTGCAATTTCAAATCATTTATATATAAAAACTTTGTTTCTAAATCATGGGCTATATGCATTTGATTCTATTGAACAGGTCTGATGTTCACAAACTATTGGAGCACAAAATATTTTGATAGGATTTACTTATACACTGCCTGAAAGTTGAAAACTACCATATAGTTAACAATATAATAAGTAATGCAAAGAAGAATATTGACTGAAACAAATACTCAAAACAATACTTAAATAAAACTGTGAACAAAGTGATTTTTTTATAGACATCTTGAATAATAATTACATTAAACAGTTTGTATACATTTTAAATTGATATCTTTAGACTGTTGGATTTTTTCATGTTGGATTTAATTCTATCCAACAATTATCAAAACTTGCGCGACTTGCAAATGCATTAACAATTGGGCAAAATAAGATTATTGATTTTGATAACACAAGTCAGCAAGAACTAAAATATAATGGAAAAGTATAAAATATAATGGAGAAGTATTCAAATAAGCTGATAGTGATTATTTAAAACTAGCTAACTTATATATATATATATATATATATATATATATATATATATATATATATATATATATATATAACTATATATATAACTATAGTATTAATTATTTTTAAATGTTGATTAAAGCTTTAATTTAGATAATATTATTACAATTAGCAAATCTTTTAAAAAAAAGACAAATTATGTAACACTTTTATAATAAAGAAACAATTGGTTCAAAGTAATTTCTGGTTCTATCCTAAGATTGCAAAATAAATTTAAAAAAATGATCAAATGAATATGAAATGATTTAGTAGGATGATACTAAGATCTATAAAAAAATTAGTATAGGAAAAACAATCATTAAATGAAATCTAAACAAATCTAAAATTTTATTCGTATGTTAAAAATAAACATAGAAAAAAATACAATTAATGAGACAACAACATTACAATTTCCGAGAAGTTTTTTTTATATTTTTTAGATAACATTTTAAAAACACATTGACTGCAAAAACTACTGTAATGATAAGGCAATAAATCAATGAAATTAAACTAGACAAATCAAAAAAAAAATTTGTGTGCGCTATTTCTTATTTCTTAGTTAATTTTTATATTCTTTGTCTATTACTGATTTTGGTATTTACATTTTTTATATTATACTTTTTACATTATTTTCTCATGCAACTTATTATCATTAATATCCAATATAAAAAAAATACCTTTAAACAAAATTAATAAACTTACAGATTTAGACCTTCTTGTATAATAAAGTTTATTATTTTGTATTACAAACCATCTCCTTAAAATACAATAGTACTATAAATTAGTGGAATTTGTTTCTTTTTCTTTAAAAACAACACTTTTAAATTATTTTTATTAAAAAAGATAAGTTATTATTATTATTATTATCAATGTTATTATTATCATTATTAAAAAAATGCTATAACTATTATTAACTTTAAAATACTTATATAATATATTAATTTATATTGATAACATTAAAATAATAAAATATAAAAAAATGCAAAATAATCTAATATTTAATAACAATTATTTAATGCGTTATAAAAAATAAAGTTAACAATTAGGTGCTAGTGATATTGCAGTAAGATCACTTGTATGTGAAAAAGCATAACATGTATGTAAAAGGTAAAACTACACCCATAGTTAGAATACTTCAATATAGATCAAACAATAATACTACAATGCTTGTTTCTCAATAAAGAAACCTTTCTTTACAAGATTTGTAAAGAAAAAATATATAAGTAATCTCCTTAAAAGTAGTACCTACCCAGCCTTCAGAAGGATAAGAAATTTTAAAAAGTTAAAAATTAATAGTTAGCATGTATTCAAAAATATGCAACGCTTATTAAACATAATATGGATATACCTATGTGTATAACTTGATGTGTATTTAACATAATGAACATAACTTGATGTGTATTTAACATAATAAACATAACTTGATGTGTATTCAACATGAACATAACTTGATGTGTATTCAACATAATGAACATAACTTGATATGTATCAAATATAATGAACATAACTTGATGTGTATTAACCATAAATGAGTTATTTTCTTTGTGCTTTGTTACAAATATATTTTTAATATAATACTTATTATAACCTTTGCAGTGTATACTATACAATTAATATGTATTTTGAAAAAATCAAATGAACCCGCAATACATATATTGTGAACCAAGAAACAGATAATCTTATTTTCCACAAGATCAATATGTATTTAGATACCGGGTAATTCCATATGAAATCATCAAAAAAAAACCAACATTTTTGACACCCTTACGTCTCAGAATTTGTTCATTTTTACCTCATTTTTACTTGCAGTCCATATTAAAATAACAATAACTGAAAAATTTTAGTTAAAAAAACACATGGGTTCCAGAGATATCATCAGTTGAAATAATGCTGACTCGGCATTTTAGTGATTATTTGAAGAAACTACAAAGCAACTTTGACATATAGTATCTTCATAATGGCTTGGGGAAATTTCCTAAAATTTAGTACCCCAATAGTTTTCACTTATGGAATCCAAAAATAGCACCTTCAAGACTTGAGGGTGCTATTTTTGGCACCCTCTTGCCTTGTTTATCCAATTTTGTTCAAAATTATTGGCTTGTAAATTCATTATTTTTGGAGGTAAAATGAAGACTGTGGCCCCAAATCCTGAGTAAAAAGTTAAATTTATATCATTATTTTAACTTAGGTCTACTGAAAAAAATTAGATTAATCAATTGTCTCTTTAACACTTGATCGAAATTTGCGTTTAAAAATTGTGTCTTTTTAGAAAAAATTAAATTTTGAAAAGAAAATAATATTGTAAGGAATAAAAGTTATATAGATTTCATGGCATTGATTGTTTGCTCTCTTGAAAATGCAGAATGTATTTTATTCCACCTAATGGCATCAATGAGAAATATTGTATTTTGGTGATGCATGCATACACATACATTATAAGTACCTGACACATTAGTTTTAAAGCACTATTTAGGTTTAAGAGTACAAAACTTTGACAAACTGACTTTGACATTAGGGCTTTTTTAAATGAAACATGTAATTTATTAATATTGAGTAGCAATAATTTTTTTTTGAACATGCTAGTTTTTCTTAACAATTACAAAATCTTTTTTTCCTGGCATCATAGTTGAAAATTTATCACTTTGATAAAAGTTAATCACTAAATTAACTGTTTCTGGTGAAAATGGGCTTCCAGGGTTTTTTTAAGGCAATGATTGAATTTTATGCTTATTTTTAACTTTTCTTGATATCTTTGTTTGTATCCATGATTTTGGTGCGAGTGTTAACATTTGCACTTTTATAAAATTTTTTATTTTGATTTCATACATTGAAATGGCTAGATCATGGTGATTGTTAATGCTGTTCTTTGAAATGGGGCTTTTTATTTTATTAGTTGTTAAAGAAGTTTCTTTTATGTTATGCTAATGAGACCATTTTTACAACTCTATCAATAGTGTTTCAAAATTTTGTTTTGCTGCAGGCAATTTGCTGTGTTTTGAAAGAATTTTAAGTTTGACTGGTGAAATTCCAAGCAATTCTATAGTGGTAACTAACTTAATCTTTTCTCAATTTTTGATTCCCATTCCTCCTGTAAATTTAAATTTTCACCTGTTTCTACTGCTGTTTTGTAACATTTACTGCAGAATTTCCAGCCTGGGGTTACATAAACATTATTTTGTTGCAAAAATTTTGCCAAGTCTAGGGAAATCTTTATATTACCTAAGAAACAAATTTTGTATTAAACTTTTAAAATAACTGAAAATATAAACTTTTTTATAAATAATATATTGATTTTCTTTTAATTTTTATATCAATTCTGTTGTTATTAATGTTAGATTACCTTTTATAGCAATTTTTTACTTTCCGTGTGTTCCAAAAGGATTGTAATACTTTGTAATTTTTTTCTCAAAATATTTTCCATAGAATTGCTCATGATAACAATATTTAATTCTTATTGAAGAATATTTTTCTTTTATATTTGCTCGCCATATTATTTTTCTTGTTTTTCACAAGGAAGATCTTTGAATTGAACAAAACCTTGTTTTCTAGAAAATATAGTTTTGTGGCAATGAATGTTAAGACTTTTTCTAATGTCACATTTCTTCAAATTAAATATGTTTATTATTTATGATATTACCTGCCAAAAAATATTAAAACAATAACATTCACAATCATTCTTTAAAAAAATTCAAACAAGTACAACCTTTAAAAAGATTAAAACAAAACTTTTGCTTGTTTTTCATATAATAAGAGGTAAACATTCACCGATTTAAATTAAAATAATGAAAAAAAATTATTTCTTAAACTTACACTAAAAAAAAATTATGTTTTTAAATTGAATTTCAATATTATTATTAATTCATTTTATGTATTAAAAAAAAAATCCAGAGAGAATGGAGAAAGTGCAGAGTTAGTCAGAGGCCCCCTGGCCCTTTATTGGCTCATGACTATAAATGTCCTAAACTAGTAAATAAATAATACTATTTGATGTTTTATTCAACATTTAATGTTTTAATAAACATTTCAATTGCTTTCATTACAAAATTTAAATTTTTCTAAAAAAACACAACTTTTTAACGCAAATTTTGATCATGTATTAGAGAGACAATTGATGAATCTAATTTTTTTCAGTAGACCTGAGATAAAATAATGATATAAATTAAACTTTTTACTCAGGATTTGGGACCACAGTCTCTATTTTACCTCCAAAAATTATGAATTTACAAGTCAATAATTTTGAACAAAATTGGATAAACAAAGCATTTCCTGAGACAATCAAGTTGTGAGGGTGCTATTTTTTGGATTCTTTAAGTAAAAATCTGTTGGGGTACCAAATTTTAGGAAATTTCCTGTAGCAATTATGAAGATACTATTTGTCAAAAATGCTTTGAAGTCGTTTCAGATAATCATTAAAATGCTGAGTCAGCATTATTTCAACTGACAATATCTCTAGAACCCATGTGTATTTTTAACTAAAATTTTTGCAGTTATTATTTTTATAATATGGACTGCAAGTGAGGTAAAAATGAACAAATTCTAAGACGTAAGGGTGTCATGGCCTGGATAATTTCATATTTCAACTTGACTTAAAGCAAATTAGAATTGATATTTCTTTGAGAAAATTAGGTACATATTAAGTAAACAAAAATTATTTTAACAAACCTGTGCCAGTTCTTGAATGCATTACTTGATTTTTTGAACAAATACCCATCTAAGACAACTTCACTAAAAATTTTCAAAATTTATTACAAACAAACAAAATCTATACATTTTTACAACACAATTTAAAGTTCATTATTCAGAGAAGTAATAACACAATATATTACTGATTGCATTGTTAAAAAAGCAATGTATTGATGATTATATTGTTAATAAAATAATATATATCTGATTGCATTTTTCATAACACAATATATTGCTGATCGCATTGTTAATTAAACGATATATTGCTGATAACATTATTAATAACAATATATTGCTGATTGGATTGTTAATAACGCAAAATATTGTTGTTTGCACTGTTAATAAAAAAATATATTGCTGATTGCATTGATAATAACAAAATGTAAATAACATCCAACATTAACTACAAAAAAGCAAAATCAAAGAAAAACATAAAAACATTTTTTTTTAGATAAAATTTTTTTTGGCTTGGTAAAGTAGAAAAAAGTCAATATTTAAGATTTAATAAAGTAGTGTTTTAATTTATTCATTATTTCTTATTAACTATAAACCACTTAGTTATTGTCAGCAACAGCAGTAACAAGCAACAAAAACAGTAACAAGCAACAACAACAGCAACAACAACAATAATAAGCAATAACAACAGTAACAAGCAACAATAACAAGCACAACAACAATAACAGGCAAAAACAACAATAACAAACAACAACAACAGTAACAACCAACAACAGCAGCAACAAGCAATAACAACAAAAATAATTCTATTCAAAACAACTTGTTAAAGTTCTTAAATTTTTTTTTAAATATAATACAAAATATTAAATATTTTTATACTAAATATATATTAGTACAAGGTTGGTTGAAAAGTTCGCGGAGCGGCACCTATGTTGCAGTAGTAGAAACAAATTTATAACTGTATTAAACGTATTCATTCTTCGTATGAACGCATAAAAAATTTCAAGTCGATATGTCATTTCAGTCTTTGTTTACAAGCTATTGAAATTAGACGTGTCATAGTATTTTTTAAAATGGAAAATATTGAACATTGTGCTGTAATAAAATTCTTTGTGAAAAAAGGTTTAAAGCCCATGGAAATTCATAATGAAATGGTAAATGTGTTGGGTGATGA